TGTGTTCCCTCTCTCGCTGTGTCTCTCTCTGTCAAGTAAATAAAATCTTTAAAAATAAATAAATAAATAAATAAAAAATAAAAATAAAACAATGAAGTAGAACCACATATCTCACCTTTCTAAGGACAAAAATGGAAGGAGAATTCATAAAAGAAGTAATATACGAGACTACATAAAAATGTTAAAACTTTTACATACCACAATTTTAAAAAGGTCTAATTAAACAGAAACTCTTATTACCATATGTGAAAAAGTGTGAAACCAAACATCAAAGAATTAGTATGTTGATATGAAAAAAATCACTGGAACTGTTAAGAAAGCTTTTAAGACATGAATAGAGAAATGAATATAAATGAGGTACATTTAACAAAAGAATAAAGAGAATAAACAAATGTAGAAACAGTATTCAATCTCTTCCACAATAAAAAAAATAACTTTTGGGTATATAATCTTTCAACAAATAATAAGCAAATATTTTCATCAAAATACCCAGTGCTGGGAGGATGCTATTAATCCCATGCGTCAAGTTATCTAATCATTGCCAGAGTTGCTGAAAGCAAACAAAACTTTCAGTGCCTAACAGATGTCTGTATCCAGGGATGCAGCAATCCCAAAAAGGTATAGTTTTCACTTACATAAAGATACCTGTTGTAAGTATATTTTTAATACCAAAAATGTGAAGTAACCTAATTGAGCAATAGGATATATGACACAGAATGCGTGTGAAAAACATCTTTATGTGTGACGGAATACACACTATAATTTCAACTACATGAAAAATACGTGTTTTTCACAACTTGAAGAAGTCTATGCTTGCTCCATTAACATACTGTGATTATAGGTCATGGTTTTACATTCTGCTTCCAAACAGGTGATAGGATTACATATTCTATAAACCATTATTTTCTAAAGAAATTTCTTCTTTCCCTTATATATCAAAAGATGAAGAGAACCCCCCCCAAAAAAGAAGAGACCCTCCACTTATATCTTCTTGCAATCCAACTTCTGCCCACCCTGTCTGACTCAAACAAGGAAGCTGGGAAATCAATCGTCTCCTTTACCTCTGCAATGCCCTATTGGAAATTTTGCAAACTCTACTTCATCCGGTTCATCCATAAACATGTTTCATCCTTTCCACTGGAGTGACCATTTACAATTACAACGTATGTGTAAATTCTCTTTCTCCAAGTACCTGCCAATGCCAAGCACAATGGCTCTCTCAAATAACTTTCAATTCGTGGTTCTTACAGGAATAGATGCATAATGAAATGAGTGGGCCATGTGATCATGAAAAAACAGCTCAAAAGTACATCAGGGTCAGGACAGGGCATGTAGAAGCCTGAACAGACATAAGTGGCCAAGAGCAGGAAGAACATTATAGGGAATGAGCAATCACTCAAGAGAAGGTAGCAAAGGAGGAGGAAAGAGAGTAACTTTGAAACCCCAGACCTCCATTTTCTCTCTAGACCCGGAGGGCTTGGTAAAGTCCTGTGCATCTTCTCCCATACATGAGTGAGGACTTGGCTTCTGGAGAAAGCTCTGCTCTCACCTGCAGCAGCGCTTCCCCCCAGGCTTGTCGCACTCACCTGAGAACAGGCCCCTTGCCAGCTCTCTTTCCACCATCCAGGGCTCCTTCCCTTGCTCCAGCAGAGAGACCAAATCTGGCTTAGAAACACAGGGTCCTGCATATGGGCAGATATGGGGTTCTGTCACACACCTGACATTCTTAAATCGAGAACCAGTTCCTTGGTTTTGATAGAAAAATGTTTTATTACAGGAAGAAGCAGAAAGAAAAGTGAGCAGTATCTGAAAGACATAGAAGACGATGCTTCAAGCATAATGAAGATACCAACTTTCAACTCTACAAATGTCAAATTTTCATCTTAGGAATCACGACAGAAATTTAGCCCAACACTTCAGAAGACCCCTCCCTGACCTCCACAATTCAAAACTGACGAATGGGGGCCCCTGGGTGGCTCAGTAGGCTAAGCGTCTGACTTCGGCTCAGGTCATGATCTCAGGGTCCTGGGATCAAGTCCCACATCAGGCTCCCGCTCGGTGGGGAGTCTGCTTCTCCCTCTACCTCTGCCCCTTCCCCCGCTCATACTCTCTCGTTCTCTTTCTCTCTCAAGTAAATAAATAAACAATCTTAAAACAAAACAAAACCTGAGGAATGAAAGTGGCGGTTCCTGAAGACAGGTTCAGATTTAGGAGAGGGACATCCTTACCTACTGACCCCAGGTCACCATGGCTCTCCCATATCACATTCTTACAGAAACTCTTCTGAGCTGGGTCCAGCTGCTGGGAGAAGTCTACAGCCATATTCGTGATGGTCACCAAGCCCTGAAATGGTACAAACACACTCTTTGATCAAACATGCCCACAAACCTGCAAAGGCTCTGGGGAGGTGTGTGAAAGAGACAACCTGTGCAAGAATTCTCACTTAAGTTCTGAGTGATCCAGGTCACATAATGACTGGGCCTAGTCATATTGTATACGTTTGGGGAAAAAAAAAAAAGAGAAAAATCGGAGAATCTGCTTCTGCCATGGAGAATCTGTAATTTTGCAGGAGAAAACAAACTTACACACAGTAGGAATTTCCTAATGCTGACTGAAGGTTTCCCCACCTTCAACATGCACGACTCGACAAGTCTGCAGGGTTTCCCTCTCATATGTAATCTTTCATGAGAGGGGCGGGTTGAAATCCTGCTCAAAGTCTTCTCACGTCATCATATGTTGAATGTTTCTGATTAAGAGACTTGTTTGTGATTCATTACAACTGAATTGTTCCCCTCTTCTAGTGTGCATCAAGAATGCGTGCTCTTCCTTCCGGCAGGATACTCCGTCTACAGGAGGCACCGTACTCAAACAGAAACTTCTCCCAAACTCCCTATGGTCGTGGTCTCTCCTCTCAAGAAGGGTTTCTTTTGGAAGGATACCGTGACTTGACTAGAATTTAGCTCACTTACCGGCTGCCTCTCAAACAGAGCACCATAATCCCAGTTTTCCCCTAATATGGAGCATTCCAGACTGTAGTTTGTGAGTCTCTCCATTATCACTGCCTGGGGTAACTTTTCTGTAGGGATGTCCCTCTTTGCAGGTAACTCAGTCTCCGGCACAGTCTTCAAATCTGAAAGATATTAAAAAAGTTTTCTCCATTATGTATTAATATGAAGAGAACTTCCAAAATGTAACCAGAGGAATTAAAATCCCCCAAAAAACCATATCATATCGAAAGCTTTTTTATATGACTAGCCAGCCCTACATTCCCATATTTGTGTAGCTTTCATCCTAAAGGACACAGTATGAGCTTTCTCACTTAAATCTAAGATGACATGTAGCTAATATAAACAAAGAGGGGGGAGAGGCTAAAGAAGAAAATTGCTATATGTTCCTTATTTCAACATTATTAAGTAAAACTCACTTTGACTCTTTCTCCATTCTTCCAGCTAAAACTTCTTTTCTCTCTCTCTTTTTTTTAAACAATGCTTTTATTACAATGCTAACTAACGAAAGTTCAAATCCCGGCCTTAAAAGTGCAAGTCTTCAGAATCAACTACAATTTTGGCAAGAAATGAAGGACTGACAGAAGGAAAAAGCTATTTCATTTTATAAAACTCATTCAGAGCACGTGATTTAATATGTTAAATGGAAAAGTTTCACAGTTCTCCTGTACCCTATGACAACCCATGAGAGCTGTCAGAAGTTCTGTGAGCGGCCTGTCCTGTTCTGTCAATATAAAGTCTTCCCTTGAAGTATGATTTCAACAGAGGTTTTATGAGATTCTCAATTCTTTAGAAATTGCTGACATTTCCTCTTGCAGTAACCTCCAAGAGAAGCCTATAATTCTGATCCCTTGTCTTGACTGATTTGTTGTTCCAGAAATAATGTTGTAGTTGAAATCACTGTATTCCCAAATGATAGAAATATCATCACAATATCTGTAAGATCTGTCTGTCGAATCAGAACCCGCATTCTCTTCTTCTGAGAGCCAGTCACCCCACTGTCCGGTCCTGTCTGCACTGCGAGGCCCACCTGCACCCAAATCAGTGACAGCCCCGCCCAGACCCAGCTCCTGGCCTGCTGGTCTCTTTCTTGTAATTCTCACATGTCTGCTAAAGGCTCTACTCTCATTCTTGTTTCTCTGGCTTGAAACTGGGAGTGATTTTTCTTCTTCCTCTTTGGTCCCTATTTATACTCACCATACATAGGATAACAGTTTCTACTTGACTTAAGTTATGTACAGATATGTCCTATTTCCCCGGTGACACGGTTAATTCTTCAATAGCTTACACTCATCCACCAATCTGTATCTGATGGCCTTACTCAAAACTGACAATAAAAGTCAGTGAAAGAAGTCTATACATGAAACAGTCACTTGATCAAAGAGAAATAAGATAATAAAAGCATCATCAGCATCGGCCAAGGATTTTTTAAAGAAGAGACAGGATTATGTAAGCTTGAATGACAAAGGGTCTGAGAAGGAGCTAGGAAAAAACAGGATCCAGAGAGGAAAGAAGTAATGTTCAGAGGGAGGAAAGAAGTAATGCTCAGAGGGAGGAAAGCAAAGGTGGAGAGATTAGGTAGGATGAACACCTGGGGAGCCCATGCTCAAGAGGCCTCAATTTCCCTCCAGGCCTGGAGGCTTGGGAAGAGCCTGCTTATGATCCTACACGGCTGAGGTCCTGAGCTGTGACCCGCAGGGCCTTCCCCCGAGCAAGGCCTCCCATGCTCACCTGGGCACCGGCCTCTTGTCAACTTTCTCTTCACCATCCAGGGCTCTTTCCTCTGTTCCAATGAGGAGATCATATCAGGCTTAGAAACGCAAAGTCCTAAATACACAAGAAGAAACAGGAGGTGGTCACACTGTGGGTCTGTGCAAACTTGACATGCAGGCCCCGTGGCTTGATGATAAGAGTGGCAGTGCAGGGCCTGGTGCTGAAGGAGTAAAGGGCTCTGAGCGACAGCAGCAGGCAGAGGAGAGGTGGAGAATTGAGGGGGGGGGGCACCCTTACCCAGCGAAACCAGGTTCCTGTAGTTCTCCAACATCACACTCCTGTACAGATTCCTCTGAGCAGAGTTCAGCCACTCCCACTCCTCTTGGGAGAAATCTACAGCCACATCCCCAAATGTCACCAAGCTCTGAAAGGACAAAACCACATTCTTGCTCAGTCAGTGCTCATGGTCCCCTAGACTGGGGGGTTGTTACGGACTGAACTGTGTCCCCCAAATTCATACATTGAAGTCTAACACCCAGTACCTCAGAATGTGATTAATTTTGGTGACAGGACCTTAAAAGAGGTGATTAAAAGTTAAATGAAGTCCCGTGGTCAGGCTCTAATCCAATCTGACTGGTGTCAGAGACATGAAGGATGCAAGTGCACAGAGGGAAGAACGTGTGGGGACACAGTGACTGGGTGGTCATCTGCAAGCCAGAGAGAAGCCTCCGGGGAAGCCAACCCCTGCCAGCACTGTGATCTCCGACTTCCAGCCTCCAGAGCAGACTGGGAAAAGAACTGTCTGTTCTTGAAGCCCCAAGTCTGCGGTATGTTGATACGGCAGCCCGAGCAGACTCATATAGGGGTCTAAGGATTACCTTCTCCTCATTTTGGGTGAGAGACTATGCATACAAGGAATAATATCCAGAGAAAAGAGAAAAATACAGAGATAGCCCCTGCCCTTGGAGAACTGGCAATTTTGTGCAGCTGTGTACACAAGAAAAATATCTGACACCAATTCAGAACATAAATAATGGAGGCTCAACTGTTCCATGCACAAGAGGTACCAGAGCATTTTTCAACACGAGGACACACGAGTGGCCTGGATCAGCACAAGAATGAGGAAATCAACCCAAAGATGAACCTCAAAAGGCCCAGAAGACTAAACCTCAAAGTCGGTTCTAAGGATTTCTATTTCACTTTCAGTGTTCATTAGATGTTGAGCATTCATGTTAACAGTAACAAAAAAAAACAAAATTGTCTTTTCTTTTTCCTGAAATAAAGGTGAGTGTTTAATAAGAATGAAAAATACGGGCGCCTGGGTGGCTCAGTCGTTAAGCGGCTGCCTTCGGCTCAG